TGCTAAAGTTTAAAGGCTTGTTTACCTGGGGAAATTAGCAGAATGATAGCAGTATACTTATACCCTTATAGCGAGGTCAGTATAACTCCTTTTGTGGACACTCCTATTCCGGAATAAAAGTGACATTATGCTGGTACAATAGACATAATTATATAGCTGTCGTTCTTCTGGTCAATTTCCTATGTAGATAAACCCTAAGCATGTGAGCAGCTCTATTGAAGTCAATGGGACTCCTGTGCCTAATGTTAAGCATAGGCTTAAGTGCTTTTCTGGATCAGGGACCTTATGAATTATCCAACAAATACCCATCATTAACAATAACACTTTTCATATTCAATACACTGATGATCTAGTGCAGTGGCAATGAATTTAAGATGGCAAGTTAAATAAATAGTGTAAGAGAATGTAACCGGGCTCAGTGCTGCCATCAGAGAGAAACTGCTCTGTGTCTCAGCATCAGATAACGAGCTGATGATCTAAGATAAATACACTCACACATCTACATGCGCACACACAACCAGGATATGAGCCACAACACATGGCCTCATCACGTCAGTTTGGGCCCATTATTTTCATACAGTTTTTAAAATTAAACACAGACGATTATTTTCTTTGACATGGAGCAACTTTGACGTGTCAGTTGTTAAATAAAAGGACCTTCAAACATAAAAGATTTTGGTCCCATTCTGCTCATCAGCAAATATCCCTGTATATCTTGTAAATTCATCAGCTGTGAACATATTGTCCCCAGTGCTTGGGTTTAAAGAAACAAGCAGGTGGCACCCAAAAGAATACATAGTTGATTCTGATCAAAGAGGGAGCGTTAACATCAATAACTGCTAGAAATATAATATTAAGTTGATCAGAAATTTTTCCACCTATGAAACAAGCTTTCATAGAATAGAATATCAGAGTTGGAAGGGACCTCAGGAGGTCATCTAGTCCAACCCACTGCTCAAAGCAGGGCTAATCCCCAGACAGATTTTTACCCCAGTTCCCTAAATGGCCCCCTCAAGGTTTGAGCTCACAACTCTGGGTTTAGTAAGCCAATGCTCAAACCACTGAGCTATCCCTCCCCGCTTCATCCTAGTTTTTTCAGTCTCTAGTGATGAAACTTGGCCCATATACAGACACAAAAAACGTTCACTGATGCTATCTTAGCTGTGGGAAAACATCCCCGACAGGCATTTACCTTTTGTTCTCTAAGAATTAGTCAGATGAGGATTTTTCGGTCAGAGGTAACTTGGCAACTAACGCAGAGTCCAGACCTCTCGCTTTTTGTCACCCAAACACACTGTGGCTCTGCCCATCAGTTATTCTCCTCCAAATGTCTGCTGTGCTGACTCACAGGAAGTCTGTGTCAGGGCTCTAAAAGCTACCGGGGAAAGGGTAAAACACAAGGCAGAGAAACAAAGCCGGGAGAGAGAAAGAGGCTGGGAAATGCTGGTGGAGTTGGAAAACAGCTGGCATACGGGCAGAGCCGACGCACCCTGGCATTGCCAGCCCCATCCGTTCTCCTGAGGATGCCATCAACATTAGCTCACCCTGGGCATTAGCTGCACCGCTCCTATTCTAGGGGATTTGCAGTGCCTTGCTGGGAGTTGTAGTCCTCCTGAGTGAGCAGCAAACAATGACTAATGTTTCTTTTTAAAATGAGTCGCCTGCTTTGAATACAGCTATTAGTTCCTTGGGCAGAACATTTAGCACAACCTCACGGGAGCGGTAATTAAGAGCAACTGCTGCAGAGATTTGGGAGAATTTTTTCCAGGAACACTTTCCCTTTATTCTGGGGGCATGTGGCAAGGCAGCGAGGCGGAGGAGTTGGTCAGGCTGCATGTGGTTGACCTGTACATGGAAGATGCACCACGCTGTGTAATAAACAAAGTCCTGGTCCAGCTACTTAATCATGCCAACAAACTTTGATTTCCATCTTCTCCTTAATTCTTATGTTACTGCTGTTAAGGCTACCTGCTGGGAGGTTCATCGTGGGCTGTAGTCCACGAAAGCTTATGCTCTAATAAATTTGTTAGTCTCTAAGAAGGTGCCACAAGTACTCCTGTTCTTTTTATCAGAAACAAAATGTAGCTCCTGATTGGGACTAACACTCCTAGCTTGGGACAGAATCGGTGTTCTGGTTGTTGTCAGCTTGGAGGGCAGAGCTGGTCAGCCAGCTTGCAAGTTAGTGTGACAAACGCAGAGACACAATTTGCAGGCCCTTTGTGCCTGCCGGGGTGTGCAGAAGCCATCCCTAGCCTGGCAGGAAGGAGTTAATACTTTTGGCCTCGGAAAAGCGGCAGCTGGTTGCAATCAGTGCAAGGGCATTTAGGAGTGGCCAGGGGCCTGCCTGTGGGGACTAGCTAAAGCAGGGGAGGGAGGTGCCGCACTGCAGGGCAGCAGAAAGCTGAACTGGCAGGGAAAGCCATAGTAGACAAGGCTTTGGTGTGAGGACAGGGAAAGCCAAGGGGACTGTGATGAGCCAGGGAAGAGAGATCAGTTAGAGGCTCTGGTGGGACGAGCTGGTGAATTCTGGAGGCTGCGAAGTCTCAGGGAGAGCCAGGATGCGAGGGTGGAGGATGAATGCTCTGTATGGGGGCATGACCCTGGGAGAGGAGCTGCTCATTTGACACACAACCACTTGTGGCGCTGGCTTTCCTCAAAGAAGGGAAACTGAGGCACAGCAGTGTAGCCAGGAAGGGAGTCCCAGCAAAACAGGAAAACAACTGCCCCACTGCAAATCTCAGCAACACGTAGTACAGGTGCACAATGGAAACTGAATGGACGTACTGGGCTACACATAATGAATTGCTGCACAGTTCATGATAATATTTGAATGCTGGGTTTGAAAGAGTGAGACAGTGTGTTTGAGAGAGAGGGGTCAGGGAGAGGAGGAGATGAGAGAGGGAACCCCCTTATGGGCAACAGTTAAAACGCTGGAAAATATTCCACCAACTTCCCTAACTCACACACCAGGTAATCCTATATGGGAGGAACAATTCATTATATTAATAATAAACGTAGTAGGTTTAGTGCATGTATTTTACACATAAGGCGTATTACGTATCTGTTTGGAGGGATGGAATGAAAATTGCCCGTGTGTGTATATGTATATTGAGCTGGTTAGAAAATAGCTTCTCTCTTTCTCCCCCCTTCGGTATAATTTTGACTTTTCATTGAAAAAACAAAAACATGAAAACCACAGGAAAGTTCAGTGGTAAGATTGTTGATCAGCCCTAATATCTCTCGCACACATTTTCAATCTGTACCCCCAAAATCTTCTCAATGACGTTGGAGTGGGAGAAGATTTTGGGGGTACAGATTGAAAATGTGTGCGAGAGATATTAGGGCTTCAATGAAACTTTTTGATGCTTCCGAGACGGCATTTCAAAATGAATGGTAGTGTTTCCTTTCAAAATGCCCATTTAAAATTAAATATTCTGAATTGATACTTTGTTTCAGTTGAAAATGCTGAAATGTTGCATTTTGAGGCTTCCACACGTTTTTTTTGGAACGTTTCATTCTGTGAAAATGTGGTATTTTGGCTTTTCATCCCAATTCAGAATGAAAACAAATGTTGTAAGAGCAGCATTTTCCCTGGGATAGAAATTAAATTTTTTGACCAGCTCTATCATTACGCTCCTGGGTAGTCCCACTGATTTCACTGGGTTGAGGCCTACGAGTTGTCCCTGCATCCATAGAGTTATATATTCCAAGGCCAGAAGGGACCACTGTGGTCATCTAGTCTGACCTCCTGTATAACACAGGCCATAGAACTTCCCCACAATAATTCCTAGGGCAGAACTTTTAGGAAAACAGCCAATCTTGATTTAAAAGTGGTCAGTGATGGAGACTCCATCACAACCTTTGGTAAATTGTTCCAATGGTTAATTACTCTCACTGTTAAAATTGTCTTATGTCCAGTCTGAATTTGTCTAGCATCAACTACCAGCCATTGGATTGTGTTAGATCTTTTTCTGCTAGACCGAAGAGCCCATTATTAAATATTTGTTCCCATACAGATACTTATAGACTGTGATCAAGTCATCTCTTAACCTTCTCTTGGATAGACTCAAATAACTCAATCACGATAGGGCATGTTTTCTAATCCTTTAAACATGTTTGTGGCACTTCTCTGAACCCTCTCAAATTTGTCAACTTCCTTCTTGAATTGTGGGCACCAGAACTGGAAACTATTCCAGCACCTGCGCCAAATACAGAAGTGAATTAACCTCTTGACTCCTACTCGAGTTTCCCCTGTTTATGCATCCTGGGATCACATTAGCTCCTTTGGTCACCATGTTGCATTGGGAGCTCATGTTCAGCTGAAAAGGACCTGGGGATTACAGTGGACGAGAAGCTGGATATGAGTCAGCAGTGTGCCCTTGTTGCCAAGAAGGCTAACGCACATTCGGCTGTATTAGTAGGAGCACTGCCAGCAGATCGAGGGGCATGATCATTCCCCTCTATTCAGCACTGGTGAGGCCACACCTGGAGTATTGCATCCAGTTTTGGTCCCCGCACTACAGAAGGGATGTGGACAAATTGGAGAAAGTCCAGCGGAGGGTAAGGAAAATGATTAGGGGGCTGGGAAACATGGCTTACGGGGAGAGGCTGAGGGAACTGGGGTTATTTAGTCTGCAGAAGAGAAGAGTGAGGGGGGATTTGATAGCAGCCTTCAATTACCTGAAGGGGAGTTCCAAAGAGGATGGAGCTAGGCTGTCCTCAGTGGTGGCAGATGACAAAACGAGAAGCAATGGTCTCAAGCTGCAGTGCGAGAGGTCTAGATTGGATATTATGCAAAACTATTTCACTAGGAGGGTGGTGAAGCACTGGAATGGGTTACCTAGGGAGGTGGTGGAATCTCCATCCTTAGAGGTTTTTAAGGCCCAGCTTGACAAAGCCCTGGTTGGGATGATTTAGTTGGTGTTGGTCCTGCTTTGAGCAGGAGATTGGACTAGATGACCTCCTGAGGTCTCTTCCAATCCTAATATTCTATGATTCTATGATTATCCACCATGACCCTCAAATCTTTTTCATCATCACTGCTTCCCAGGAGAGAGTTCCCCCATCCTGTAAGGATGGTCCACATTCGTTGTTCCTAGCTAGAGACATTTCTATTTAGTCATATTAAAATGCAAACTGTTTGCTTGTGCCCAGTTTACCAAGCAATCAAGATCACTTTTCATTATTTACCATTCCCCCAATTTTTATATCCTCTGAAAACTTCATCAGTGATGAATTTATGTTTAATTCCAGCTCACTGATAAAAATGTTAAGTAGCGTAGGGCCAAAAACCGATCACTGCGGGACCCCACTGGAAACAGGCCCACTTGATGATGATTCCCCATTTACAATTTCATTTTGAGACCTATCAATTAGCCAGTCTTTAATCCATTGAATGTGTGCCATGTTAATTTTACATTGTATTTACACCATATTTAAGCAGCAGATGCTGAGAGAAATATGTTACATTTTATTATAGGAGTTCAGGAAAACCTCACAGATGCAAAATATCAATGCCCTGTGGAGGTCCCTAGTTCTGTGCTGGGTCTGGGTTATCTGGTTCATATGCAATGGAAATCACGGCACAGTGCAGTTCCACACTGAGTAACTTGCTGCTTTGCTGAGAGCCCAAAGGGGGGATATCCGTTGCAGAGATCTCTGCTACAACCCACCCTTACCTCCTGGGAGGGATCTCACCGGAGCAGCCGGGCTCTGCAGGACATCAGAAGCAATGGCAATGATCTTTGCCATCACCACTTGATACTGCACGCGGGGACCTCTTGGTGCCTGTTGAAGCTCGATTTCTGAGTGGCGTTCCTCCCACGCGCCAGACCTATGTGAGCCCTCGCCCCTCTGTTGGGCTGCTGGGGCATCTTTAGACTCCCCACGGGGCCCCGTGCATATGACCCGCCTCCGCCCTAGTATGGAGCCTCTGATCAGCTCCTGACTGAAGCTCTTCCCTCACTCAGCAGCTGGGAGTGGCCGTTCGCCCATGCAGCCCTTTTGGGGTGCCATGAGCTGTGAGCCCCTCCCACACTGAAGACAGGCAAAGGGCCTCTCCTGGGCATGGCTGCGCTGGGGTGATGATCATTTTTCTGGTTGAAGCTCTTCTCTCACATGTTGCACCAATCGGGTGTCTCGTCCATGTGGATCCGCTGGCGTATCACGAGCCGCGACCTCTCAATGAAGCCTTCGCTGCAGGCGCTGCCTTCATGGGGCCTGTCCTGCCTGTGGGTCAGCGCATGTGTGGTGAGGTGAACTTCTCCCCATGCTGGTGCACGTGTACACCCTCTTCCCCACCTGGGCTTTCTTCCAGGTCTAATGACTTCCTCTGAGAGCCAGCCCTTCCCCGTTCTCGGCCAGTGATTTTCCCAGTGCACCGCTTATTGGCTGAGCTACCCCTGGACCCGAGTGACCTCCACAGTCCCTGCTCTCATGTGGCCGCCTGGCTGGGCGAACTGTCTGGTGGGCTGGGAGGTTTCCAGCCGTCTGGAACCGATCCTCGTGCTCAGTACATACGTAACAGCCTCCTGCTGGGCGGATTCCTGCTATGATGGGACTGAAGTTGTTCTCAGTGCTGTGGGTCTCACCCTCACCGAGCTGAGCCCTCTGGGGCACCGTACTCCTCACCACACCAAGGCTTACTTGCTGTCCATCATGTGCATCCAGCTCCTCTTTTATGTGGATTCTCGGCGGTGGCGTAAGAGCCGGCTGAGGTGGTAGTGCGGCCTCTTTCCCACGGCAGTCCCGGGTGCATCTTGAGGGGTTTTTTATGCGGGAAGCTTTCGCTTTACCTGGGGCACATGTAGGGCTGTTCGTCCTGGTGTATCCTCTGGGGCATGGCCAAGGAGACCTTAACAAACCACTTCCCACACTGGCTGCTGCACTTATGGGGGAGTCTCCTGCAGGTAGACCAGCCAGTGTGTCCTAGGGGTCTTTTTGTGCACAAAGCACTCCCTGCAGGCATAGGGCCTCTGGCCTGTGTGGCTCCTCTGGTGCATCGTGAGGTTCTCCTTCCAGGTGAAGCTCTTCCCACACTGGGCACAGACTAACAGCTGCTTGCCCGTGTATCTCCTCCTGTGTGTGGCCACGCTCCTGTCGGTGATGCCGCTCTTCCCGCAGGCAGTGCAGATGTAGGGCCCTGCCTGGGAGTGGATCTTCTGGTGGGTGACCAGAGTGATTTTCTGGCTGAAGATTTGTACAGTCTCTGTGAGGTGGGTGCTAGAGAGCTCTCCATGGTAACGACTCTTCTCACATCCGGCCCAGGCTTATTCCAATCCTTGCTGCTGAGTTTGGCATCACTCCTATCACTCCTCCCCCAGCCTGGTGTGTTTCCTTCCTTCGCGGTTTTCCCTGAGCCAAGGGGAAGTTGCAGTTGGTTTGTTAAACCAAACCCTTGGAAGCATTGTCTTTGCTCTCTTTAATTTATGGCCTGGTCCTTCCTTGGGCGGTTCCTGTTTTGTTCCTCTTTGTTCATGCCACAGTCACAGGCTGCACAGAAAAGGAAATCCTGGCGTTAGTTCAAAGGCTGGTGCCTGGCATGATCACTACACAGGGATTTTCAAAAGCACTGAGCATTGGCCTTACTCTGCACCCCTTGCAGTTGATGGGGGAACTCCCGCTGACTCCCCTGGGAGCAGAGTAAGGCCGGCGTTGAAGGCTGTTGAAAATCCCATCCTAAATCCTACCCCATCAGATTTTAGTAGGGGAGGTTCTGATGCTTTTCGGGCCGCCGAGGGTTTGTGAGTCACCTTGTTGCCACCGGCCTGCGGCGTGAGGGAGTCTTGCCTATGTCAGCTGGGCGTTAGCTCCCTAAAACAACCGGCCCATCAGCTACTCAGGCACTCATCTCCAGCATTGCTTTGCACCCTTGGAGATGCACCCCTGTCCTTGAATCCCTTCAAAGTGTCCCCCCGTGGTGTCCAGCCACTGGATACCCACAGAAATCCCAGATCCTCCATTCCCAGAATGTACCCCAGTTAACCAGTTTTACCCTAGACTACCATGCGTGCATCACACACAGCACTTGAGTGATAGTAAAACACAAGGGAATTTGCTGAAGAAAGAACAGAGATTCAAACAGAAACAAGTAATGGAAACAAATGGTTACATACGAAACAAAACCATCAAACGCGAATTAGGGCCTGCGTTTATGATTCGTCACCTTTTCTCTCTAATAAAGTAGATTCCCACCACAAAGCCTCTTGCAGCGTTAGCTGCCCCCAAGAAGCTAGGGACCAGTCTTGCATGACACACCACCGCACATCAAGGTACCTCCTCAGTGAATGGGTCCAGAGGGTCTTCCTCCACCCTGCAATATACTGAATCTGCCTCTTGTCTTTATTCACCGAGATCTCCTCAGTGCCCTGTCCTTCCATTTCACTGCCAAGTGGTTTCCATGTTTATAGTTTGTCTTTGATGTTTTTTTGCTGGCTCTTTTGGGTTGGTGCAACGGTGGATAATGGAGCAATACCTGACATAACTGGCTAGCCAGGGAAAGGTGATAACTCCCTCCGGCTTGCATGGGCCATCACCAAAGCCTACAATTCCCTGGTGACTCACTTTCACACCAAGACCATAAGGGCATCATTTTCAATGTAGTTACGTTGTTCCTTAAATATTACCCCGCCACATATCTTGTGATAATTATGAGCATTGATAAGTTACAAGCTTTTATATATATATATATATAGAGAGAGAGAGAGATACACAGAACTAGAAGGGACCCTGAAGGGTCATTGAGTCCAGCCCCCTGCCTTCACTAGCAGGACCAAGTACTGATTTTGCCCCAGATCTTAAGTGGCCCCCTCAAGGGCTGAATTTACAACCCTGGGTTTAGCAGATCAATGCGCAAACCACTGAGCTATCCCTCCCCCTAAGAGACCTCCCATGCTACCCTTTATGGATAAATACCGTGAAAACGGAGTATTGGGTGTAGTGAGTTTGTCAGGTCTTGGACAGGAGTCACTTATAAAGAACAGTGAAACCTGTGGCAGTTGGCCCCAGTAGGCCTCTGTGTCTGTGTCAGTCTGGGCTGACAAGGATTAAACACAGTCACCATCTAATGTCTATTCTGAGGCCTGATTGGGGCCTGGGTGATCTGAATCAAGTTCTCAGTGGATAGGAATCCACCTTTCTCTCTCTTTTCTCTCCCAGCCCCCGTCAGGGCTATCGATCAGCTACTTTCCCACCACACGCAAAACACATTATAAATGTAAGAGGGGAAAAATACTTTTGAGATATTTACAAATGAAAGTCTGCGTGAGGGAGAGTGAGACCCTTTCTAAATGTAATGTCTGGCCAGGTACGTAATACGCCATTCGGGCCAGGGCCTTTTCCAGGGTTTTTGCCGCCCCAAGCAGCAAAAAGAGAAAAAAAAAAAAAAGACCGCGATCGCGATCTGCGGCACTTCGGTGGCAGCTCTACCGCCGCTGCTTCAGTCTTTGGCAGCAATTCGGCTGCTGGTCCTTCGCTCCAAGAGGGAGTGAGGGACCCGCCACTGAATTGCCGCCGAAGAGCCAGACGTGCCGCCCCTCTCCGTTGGCTGCCCCAAGCACCTGCTTGCTGGGCTGGTGCCTGGAGCCGGCCCTGATTCGGGCAACGGGAGTGCTGGTGCCATTGCACCAACTAGAGTGTTCATATTGATGGGGTGTGAACAGCAGCGTGGGGAACATTACAGTCTGGAAGCAGTGGTGGTGGGTCATGCCATTAATTTATTCCTCCTCTGGAGTGCTGGGGTTTTATATTTAGTCTGGGATTTTCCAAGGAAATCAGGCATTGTCCTCCTAGAAAAATGCAGGCATAGATTCATAGACTCTAGGACTGGAAGGGACCACGAGAGGTCATCAAGTCCAGTCCCCTGCCCTCATGGCAGGACCAAATACTGTCTAGACCATCCCTGATAGACATTTATCTAACCTACTCATAAATATCTCCAGAGATGGAGATTCCACAACCTCCCTAGGCAATTTATTCCAATGTTTAACCACCCTGACAGTTAGGAACTTTTTCCTAATGTCCAACCTAAACCTCCCTTGCTGCAGTTTAAGCCCATTGCGTCTTGTTCTATCCTTAGAGGCTAAGGTGAACAAGTTTTCTCCCTCCTCCTTATGACACCCTTTTAGATACCTGAAAAGTGCTATCATGTCCCCTCTCAGTCTTCTCTTCTCCAAACTAAACAAACCCAGTTCTTTCAGCCTTCCTTCATAGGTCATGTTCTCAAGACCTTTGATCATTCTTGTTGCTCTTCTCTGGACCCTCTCCAATTTCTCCACATCTTTCTTGAGGCATCTAAATACCTTCGCCAAAAAATAAATATCAAAAAAGTCAAGTTAAGGAAAGGACAAAAGCTGGGTGCAGATAAATCCCTGGGGGATGAATTATGCAGCCATCACGTCTTCAGATGCTGTGTATAAATACTGCTCAAGGCAGAGCATGTTTGTTTGGCTGATGGCTAGAGGATGGAACTAAGAGAGATGAACCAAGACTGCAGTTCCGATTCTACCAGGCTGACTACTTGTTTGAGTATGGATGTGTTTCGTCCCCTCTCTCTGTGGCTCAATTTATTATCCATATGGAAAACGGGCATAATAATTTTCTGCCCGTTGGAGAGCTTAATGCATTAATGTTAAAGGCGCTCCCGGAAAGGGGCCTAGAAGTGCAAAGTGTTGTTGCATGTAGCTTGCAAGCTCTGTGGGGCAGGGACTGTCTTTTGGGTCTGTGTTTGTACAACGCTTAGCACAGTGGGGTCCTCATCCGTGACTAGGGCTCCTGGGTGCTACGGTTAGGATCGCCTCTCCAATCTGCTTCCTTTTTTATAGCCTCCAAAATTCTAAAGTCTGAATGCACGTGGACTCCAGTCCGGCAGTGATTTGTAATAGGTTTTACTCCAATGCTTTAACCCACTGGAAATAAGATGAACATTTTTCTCAGGGCGGGTAGTTAACCATTGGCCCAAGGGCTGCAGTAATGTCACCCTCACTTGGAGTCTATAAATCAAGGTGGGATGGAGGTCTTTCTAAAAGCTACACTCTAGTTCAATCACAGAGAGTTGGGCTAGGTGAAGGGACCACGGGGTGAAATTCTATGGCATGTTGTGATGGGGCATGTGCCCCACACTGGCCCTGGAGGGGTTACTATAGGTAAGAGAGAGGCCAATTAGCCATAGGCTGCACCCGCGGGGAGCTAAGACACAATGAGGCTTAATTGGGGATGAAGCTCACCTGGGCAGAATCAGGCAGGGCATCTAAAAATAGAGCCCTGCAAATCCAAGGGCATCTGTTTTATATCTGTGGACCATTTCTGTGGATAAGAGCCAGGTGGGCAGTTGTTAGGAACCGCGGTGTGGACCCTCCACCTGTCCTGGGTGGGAGGTCTGGGGGCCAGGGACACGGGCCGGGGGGTGCTCAGGACCCCCATCCAGGGCAGGTGGAGGGTCGGCTGTGGCTCCCCAGAGTTGCCCACCCGGCCCTTATCGTGGCTGGGCCGTGTCACCGACATCCTTCACCCCCCACCCCTGGTTGGCGCTGGAGAGCCGCGCTGGCAACTGTGGGGAGCCTAGGCCCCTCCACCTGCCCTGCGTGGGGGGCCTGAGCAGCCCCCCGGGAAGCTCCATGGGTCACCCCCCCACACCCTGGCTAGGCCAGCATGGAGCCCAGTCGGGGAGCCGCAGCGGACCCTCCATCTGCCCATGGTGCAGGGGAGGACTGAGGGCAGCCCCCGGCCATATCCCCGTCCCCCCAGACTCCCCACCTCGCCGAGGGCAAGTGGAGGGTCCACAACTCTGTGCGGGCTCCCCACAGCTACCCACGCAGCTCTCCCTGACCAGCTCTGGTGTGGGGTGCCTTGGAGCCTCAGCCCAGCCACGGTAAGTAGAGCCCTGCAAATCGGCAGATATCCGCAGACAATTTTTGCAGCTCGCAGATCGGACGCGGATACACGTTTTTATATCCATGCAGGCTCTATCTATATAAAGCCAGGGAGTTGGCAACAGGGAGCAGGCCTGTAGTTGCACTTCCTGATACTAGGAGAGAGAGTAGGCGCCTAGAATAGGCAGTGTAGGAAGCAGTCCAGGGAAGGAGCAGTGAGGGCTGAGGGAATAAAGCCCTGAGCTGCTGGGTCGAGGGTCCCTGGCTTGGAACCCAGTGCAGAGGGCAGGCCTGGGTTCCCCTACCAGCCACTGTGGGACTGGCACACTAGGGGCAGCCTATTTGGGGACTGCCAGGGACAGTTTGGAAGGAGACTTTGATAACACCCCAGACGTGGGGGAACTTCAGTATGACTTGGCAGACGGGATAAGCCATGAAGAGGAAAATGCTGCAGCTCCGTGAGCATGAGAGAGGCCTGGAGTGAGTGAGTGGGCTGATGGGCTGAGGATCACCAGGACGGGGCATCAGACCCTGTGGTAGCTAATCCCCAGATGGGAGGTGCCAGAATGGTGAGAGAGCACTCCCCTGTCACACGCGTGTTATGCAGGAAGGCAGACGAGAAGATCAGCATGGCTTTGTAATTTATGAACCAATAAAGGAGACAGAAAGATGAGCTGAAAACTAATGGCACAGCACATCCGAAGTACAGGTCTAGAGTTAGATATGCTTGGATCTACGCTTCCATCTAGTCACCCATGTTCTTCTGGGAACCCGACATGCAGGAGCATGCTGAAATCGGGAAAAACTCAACTGCATAATATCCACCCATGTAACAGAAACTAGTGAACCGTTTGCCACAACCGGGATTAAGAGCCTGGACTGTGCAGACATGCCCAATGACACGCTGACGGGAGTATCTAACTGTGCAACGCAGCTGTAGTTTTAAGGCATAGAAGCAGCTTGTGTTAGCACAAGTCAGCTCTGTAAGGGTTCATTTGGAATAAACAGTCTTCGGTGTTGTTTGTGTCCTCCGCCGTTTGCAAAGCAGCAAAATGAACGTGCCACGTCAGGTCCGGTCCGGTCCGGTCAGCACAACTTTTCGTTGCCAAATTCTCCCCAAGCTGAGCACAGATCATTAAGGAATTTCTAGAGATGCTCTTCCTAGCCTAACCACGTGCACTGGTCACTTTCTTATGGAGATGTCAACGTGAAAGAAAATCCCAGTAGACGTGGAACGAGATCATTCCTTAACTTAAAACACAGTAGTTATTTTCCTGACAGAAGATGCTTTCCGTGTTCACCCGCCAGTGTCTGTTAGCCGGAGGCAGCAAACACCCAGGAAGCTGAACGGAAAATGTCTTACCCGAGGAAACACCGCTGCAAGCATATTTCTCTTCCCTTTAGCATTAACCAGAGGAAAGCGTGGCTACTCGGCTGTCACTTGACAGATAATGAAATCCAGATCTCTGGGTCTTACTATTCTGCTTCCGTCCCCTTGTCTCCTCTGGCCTGCTCTGCGGACTCAGGGAAAGGCTGCTTCAGTGCTGTAGTAGAAGCTATAGGGGGAGGGAGCGAAATAGAAGTCGGAGAGACAAAAGCTGGCTGGGAAAAGGGAGGGGGGATGGGGAGTAAGAAACTGCGTTGTGCAATGCCCTGCTGGGAGATGTAGTCCTTCCTCCAAAGGATTGCATGGCCTGCGATTACTGCTGTTCAGAAACAAACCAATGAATGCCATCTCGCCTGCTGCATGCGGGGAGATCAGTGTGCCCTTAGCCTTGTCCTTTGTTCATTGAATGGCTCCTACAATTGGGAAAGGAGGATTTTTTCTTGTGATCCTGTTCAGTAAAATGTTCAATGGGACTAACATGACCCTATGCGGACGAGTAAACCGGGGGCACATTCCCTTCACCTGCAGTAAACTGGAGGAGACATTTTAGTAGCCGAAGCAGCTGATGCTGCAACTCTAGTGCCTGATTCTCAGCGCACCCAGCTTTCGTGCTGGTGCTGCAGACTAGTGCTTAATTCGTAATGGAAGAGGTGCAGGGTCTCAAGCAAACTTTTTATTTTCATTAGGGTTACCA